AGAGGTAAAGCTCAGGCCAAGGCCAGGCATGGCATACAAAAGGGTGTTCCATCTACATCATCCCCAGGTCCCAGAAGCACAGGAACTCATAAATACATTTGAAAAACGAAATACTTATTATATCTCTACTTTAGACTAGGCACTGAAATTTCAGAGATGACAGGCCCTGGTTCCTGTCCTCTCGTTGTGAAAGAGCCCTACGGATGTTCCTTTCTCTCTTCTCTAAAAGATCATCAGCTTTGCAGACCGACAGGAGGAATCCCGGAGCCTGCTACGGCACTGGTAGCACCCCTCTGTATTCTCTAAAACTGCCTCTAACTGAGCAAGGGGTCTTTCATCCCCTGCTCTCTAGCCCAGGATCTGCCCGGCTATGCCCTGTCCCCGGGCGCTGGGCCAGTACAGTGCCCAGAAACGGGCACAGTAAACAGGCATCTGGAGGTCCAAGGAGGAAGGTGTTGCTGCCTTCCCACCCCCACCCTCACACCCACCACAGGTACAGGAGTCTTGGATGCTTCTCCCGAGGGCCCACACACTTCTCTCCTGTTCTTTCTCCAGAGGTGGGAGACTCTGAGCTAGAGGAAGGCATAACGTTTTCCAGGAGTGCTGACACTAAATTTCCAGCAAAGAGAGGGGAAAGCAGCCATAAAGGGTATCGGGACAATTGACAAAAATTGCATATGGGACTGTGGATTAAATGGCAGCATTGGTTCAATGTTAAATGTCCTGATTTTAATAACTGCATCGTGGTTATATTCTTAGGAGATACACATAAAATATTTAGAGGCCAAGAGCATGAAGTCTCTATTCATAAATTGTGAATATATACATATATATATACAGAGATACAAATGTATCTATATGATGAATGGTGAATATACATGAATACAGTGTATATATAGTGTGTGTGTATATATACACACACACTGTATATAGAGATATGAGTACTTGATGAATGGTGAATATATATATGAGTTTACACATAGAAAATGATAAAACAATGGCACAAAATGTAAATACTTGTTGATTCTAAGTAAAGGGTATACAAGAGTTTCTTGTACTATTCTTGCACCTTTTCTGTAAATTTGAAATTATATCAAAGTTATAAAAAAAATTCCCTTTGAGAGGTATGCAGGCAAGCACCCTGACAGGTCTCAAGGTCCAGGGACGCATGCCGGCTGTCACCCTTTTTTCCCCCCAGCTCTTACGGCAGCCAGATCTCTGCCCCTCTGGTGGGCACTGCCCAGACTGTGTGGACAGCACAAGGGATGGCCCTGAGACCGCGCGAGGCCCAGGCGGTGTGGGAGGAATGTAGATCAGGGTTGCCCTCACAGTTCCCCATCTTACTAGCTGTGAGACTCTGGGCAGGACAGCGTAGTTCTCTAAGACTCAGCTTTGCCCATCTGTAAAATGGGAACAACCACTTGTAGCTCAGGTAGTGAGACATGCCTGAAGTGACATGGACTGAGCACCTAAGATGCTGCCGTCTATGTGGGTGCCCAAGAAACTCTTGTTTGTATGGTGAGCAGATGCTCCCCTAAGTGGCGGCCTCACAATATTCATGCAGCTCCTGTGCAGCTTCTCCCTCCTGTCTCCCCTCCCCTCAACCAAACAACATTCCTCCTCTCCTTCATAACCTGTAACCTGGCCCAGAGTTTCCCTCATCCTGAAATCTTCCCAGACCACCCCCTCCTCACGCCTGTACTTGCAAGCTGGTGTCTGGTAGGTGGACTTGTACTTTTATCAGTTTTCCCTCATCCGGCCCCTCAGGATGGGGCAGATAGACTTGGTGTTTCCCTCATGCTCCCCAGAGCTCGGCGGTGGCGGGGTCCCCAGGGCCCCTCAGGCCAGTGTGGATGAGCACTGTCCACTCTCACACCTGACAGCTCCCTCACAGGACCGAAATTCCGAGCTGGGGAGGGGAGGGCACACAGACAGTGATCTGGCTACCATCTGTTTGACAAGGAAACTACTCAGTCTTCCCTTGGTCACTGGAGGAAAGATGGATTTCCTGGTTAGATTAGGTACTTCCCAGCTCTTGACAAACATGAACACACATACACAGCCAGACCACTCAGCGACATGAGAATCTGGGCTTTCTCACAGAATCAGAGGTGTCTGGGACGGGGGACGGCAATGCTAAGAGAAAAAGGCACGTTGCAGAGGTGGACAGACTGTGTAATTCCATCTCTGTGGGGAAAAAAACCCAATGGATACATTTGCATGTGTATATGTGAATATTCAGAAAAAAGTAATTGTGACCAAATTTGAGGAGGTGAGTGGACTTAAGGGTAAGATGAAAGCGAGCTTTCACATTATCCTTGGTATATTTCTGTACTGTTTAAAAAGTTTAAACAAGGCATGCATGTTTAACTTATATATAATTCATAAATAATACATTTATCCCCCAAAGTGGGAAAAGAACTGGGGGTACAGGCCTAAAAGATAGCCCTTTCATTTCTTCTCTCTGGGCGGCCGCCTTCTCGGAGCCTGCTGGGAAGGAAGCCCCATGGTGTTGTGCAGGCACCCAGGGAACTCTGCAGGTTTCTGAAGCACACGAGCACACTGTGTAAGCAGGTGGAGGAGCAATGGGAGCCACCCTGCTAATGCTCGCAGCATCTGGGTTGGGGAGGGTGACAGGTTGTGGTGATGGGCGGGTAGGAAGTGGGCTGGCAGAGGGATTCAACATGGTCATCACTGTACATGGAAACACACACTTCCATTCTTTTGGGAGTAAGGCATCTGTCTGTAACTCCAACTTGAAGGCTTTGTACACAGACTGAAATTCCCCTTCCACAGACAAGCAGTGTCCTTTGGAGTTAAGGCAGTTACGAATGTATTTGCTACAGAGATGAAGCATTTTCAGCTGGCCCCTCCCCTCCCCCTAAGCAGCTCCAACTGAGCCCCAGTCCCTACTCCCTCTGGAGGGGAAAGAACTCTGGCATCCAGCCTCCACCACAGAGCATTTGCTCCCTCCCTAAAGGCAGGTGATGGAGATACTCTGAAGACTGGGCCTGAGGGACCCTGAGGCGGTTCCACATTTAACAGAGGCTGTAGAGGAGCCCCCTTCTGCTTCTCAAGACCAACGGTGCAAGGGCACCAGGCTTCCCCTGGGACAGCTGGCTACCAGCCTGACTGACAGCACCCTGGACTGGCCCAGGAGCTTAAACGAGTGCTGAGGCCTGGATCCCAGCCCCAGAGATTCTGATCTAATTAGTCTAGGGTGTGGCCGGGCAGCAGTGTTTGTAAAAGCCCCCCAGGTGAACCTAATATACAGCCAGGGTTGAGAGGCCCTGCCCCAGAACTGCAGGATAACAAGTTGACCGGGGTTTTCCACAGCCCTCTCTTCTCCAGGGCACTGAGCCCAAGTCCCGGGTCTGCTCACTGTCTCCAGCTTGTTTTCCTCTTTTACTGCTCTCCTCTGACTCCATCTCACTTCCCTTGGGATCTCACTGGAATGGACGTGCCACAGCTGAGGACAGGAGGCTGTTGGCCTCCCAGCTCAAACTCCACACGCTCCTGCTTCTGCCCCCACGAAAGGCGAACAACCACATTGGACCCTAGTTCACCATCACTTGGTGATCTTCTAAGATCCCACGTCTCTTCCGCTGACGTTTCCCCAGAACTAACAGCACAGGCACAAGAAATCCTTTTGGAAGGCAAAATCATTAACCCAATTCTCACTAGATTTTTCTTAGAATTGTTTACGCATTTCCAAGAGCTTACTAAACGCCACCTTTGATAATCTGAGGCTCCCCAGTGGTTATCCATAAAAAATTATCATTCCCATTTGGCTGCCCTGGCATCCTGAAGGCTGAGCATCCCCCTGACAGCCTGGCTGGTATGTGTGCAAGGAACCCAAGCTCCTCACTGGGAAGATAAGTATGTCGCTTTGATAAGAAGAGATGGGAATAAAACTAAGCTATAGAACACCGCCTTGTAATGGAAGAAGAGAGGCAGCCTTTGAATTAACCTAGCTCACTTTCCTTTATCAGTATGGGTAGTCTTTCTTCTGATTTTATAAGATATTGAAATATTTTTGTGGGCCCATAAAAGCATTGAGAACCCTATGTCCTGGCCTGAAAGATAAGGGGCCCTGGGGGGAAGCAGAGATCCCAAAAGAGGGAAACAACTGCACAGAGTCACAGTGGAAGCCCCTTCCCCATTTGGCTATTTAGACCACAGCTATAAGTTGGTTCCAATAGATGCTGGTAAAGCTCTTCTGTGAATAGGCATGGCACCATCATCCTGAAAGGTGCATGTGTGAGTTGGCCCAGTAAGAGGCACAGGGAACTCACAAAGGAGGAAGGGGGCTGAGACACAGACACGTCACCGTGACACTGGGGAGGAGACAGTCAATGGCAGAAAGGGGTACTGGGCGGGTGCTCACTGGAGGGAAGAGCTCCACTCAGCCGCAGCAAGGACAAACTTGATGAGATGCCTTTTCTGTGGGAGTCTGTCCCACGAGAGGTGCCAGAGTAAAGGCACAAAGGGAGGAACACAGGGATGTCTGGTGCATGAGGAGGAGCTCAGTTTGGCTTGAGGACAGGATGGGGGTAAAGGAGCTGGGGGCAGCACGTGGAAAGAGCCACTGAGGCCGGACGTCTGGATGTGAGGGGTGAGCCCAGGCAGCACCGTGTGGGAAGGTCACTTGGACAGGACTGGTGGGCTTTGGAGACCACTGGGCACTCCAACCAGGAGTGCTCCAATCAGAGCCACGATGTAGGAAGGTCCACCAGGCAGGAAAGACTCACTTGGGGGAGATTCGGGAGCTTTCCCAGGGGCCTGAGTGAGACTGAGAGAGGACCGGGAGGTGTAACACCACTCAGGCTGCAGGGAGATGGGAGGGGTGAGAAAAGGCCACCGGCTTGGTCACCAGGAGCTCATGGGGCACCAGGGTGAGGGCAGGGGCCAGGCTCCGGGGAGCACGGGCAAGGAAGCGGGAGCATCCGATGCTGGCCCTCAGCCCGGGGTCTGCCTGGAAGAGCTGAACAAGTACTTACTCTCTGTTCCCAGCACGGGAGGAAGCGAGCTCTTTGGCCTCCGGGCTTTCATCTCCGGGGCCTTGGCATTCTCACTGGCGGGGGCATCTGGAACAGAATGAGCAACAACGCGAGTCAGCAGCTGCCCAGGGAAACGAGCAGAGGAGGCACCGCAATAGAAAGCCCACCTCAACCGCAGGGATAGTCCCCTCTTCCCACTCCACTCTGAGGGGCTTCAGCAGCCCCGGGCAGACGGCGCCTACAGCCAGCACCTTCCTCACAAGAGCACCAAAGGAGGAGGGTCCGTCCGTGAGGCTTTATAAATCAGGTGGAACGCAGTTGTGCTGAAGACGGGTGGACAGGCTATGCTGGGAGGGCGCTAGTTAACGCTTTCTCCTCGGCAGCAGGCCCAGGCCGCCAGAATCACATCATTGGCCAGCCTTGGGGACAGCAGGCACCCCTCTGCTCACCTCTCCCCTTCTTTTCCTTTCATTGAGTCTTAACTCACTCAGGCTAAACACTCTAGATTTCCCAAAGCATAGTGCTCTGTGTAGAGAGGCTTCTTGGACAGGGAGTGGGGACAGGGTTGTTACTCTTGGTCTGGTGAGGGGCTTGCAGCCTCTGATTTCTCAGACTCCCTTGTACAGATGGGCACTGACGGTCAGCCCTCCAGGCCGGCATGCCTCACCCACTCTGGACTAAGCCTTGGATCCGTCGTGGGGGCTTCTGCACCGTCCCCGCCCAGAGCAGGTCCAGTGAAGCCCCACAGATGCAGCCTCCGGGCAGAGCTGAAATCCTGCGGGGAGGAGCACACGGCTCCTCAGGCCTGCCCTCTCCTCTCCCTCTTCTTTCACGTTCACACCAAGTGTGGACGGTGCCAGGGCAGTGGGGTAACATCGTGCTGGGCTCAACTGGGCAGAAAAGGCCCTCACTGGGCCCCAAGGAGACCGGACTCTAGGAAGCTGCAGGGAGCAGGATAAGAAGGGCCTGGCTGCACCGCTATCACTACACTCCAGCATCTTCCCCACAAGAAGCTCTCTTCCGGGAGCGTGCTTGGGGGGAGCCTCCCCCTCAGAGCCCCTTCCTGTGTATCCTTTTCCTGCTCCTGAAGAGGAAGCACAAGGGGAGAAGGGGGGGGTGGGACTTTCCAGCTGAGGCTTGGCCACATTCTTGTGGCCTGGCTGGGGAGGAAGGGCCATCTCTCTGTCCCCGCCTCCAAGGTGGGGAAAGTCCGGCTGCTAGCAGCAGCGCTGTCTCCTAGACGGGGCTCCTGGGGCTTTGGGGGCTGGGCACATACACTCCCCGGCAAGCAGACTCCTGGTGCTTCCATCTGGATGCATTGTTCTTTCTAGATGGCATTTGGGTCCCTTTCCTGTTCCAGAATGTGGGTCTGTCCATATAAATTCCTTCACACCAGTCGGCTTCCTTCCCAACCCAATGCCTGCCCACTCTCCATTAGCTGGGTCCGGGAACAGAGGCTCTAGGCAGGCACTGTCCAGGCTCATGGCAGCTCCAAGGCTCACAGGACTCCAGGACTGCAAGAACAATTCCCTACTGCAGTCGGCCAAGAGCTGTCCTTATGTAATTACAGGAATGATTAAGTGTCATCCTTAAGTAGAACCTCCTAGCATTATATGACAGGGGATGGGGCTGAGGGAACAAAGCTGGAAAGGATTCCTTTAAGCAGCACTTGATAACCCGGCCCCCCTACCCTGCCACCTTCCATAAAAGAGCCCCAGATGATGAGTCGGGGTCCTGCCATCTGTAGCTGACATGGCCTGTGTCCTGTCTCCTGAGTGGGCCACCCACACCCCAGGTTCCATGTGGACATGGATGGAGGAGCAGGACGTCCCATGGGGAAGGGGATGATTTCATTTTCTGTGTGTGTGTGTGTGTGTGTGTGTGTGTGTGTGTGTGTACGAGGGCATGTAGAGGTGGGGTGGGGGACAGGAGGGCCTCAGAGACTATTCCTAGAGTCAGGAAAACCTGTCCATGCTTCCCTTGATATTTGTGGATCAGGAAGCCATAAACCAGGCCTTTCCTTCCTCTTTTCCTTCAAGACCAGTCCTTCTGACAGCACGGATGACAATTTAAAGAAAGGCGCACCCAGAAATTTGTTTTCCCCCTTTCCAGGAACAGGAGGAGTGGGCAGAGTATGTTTGGACAGTTCCCTGTTCCTTGGCTTCAGCACTCTTTTTGCTGTCTTTTTCCAGGTCAGTGTTGGGGCATCAGAGGAGGGAGATAAAGAAGGATTGAGATTTTTTTTTTTTAACTGATGGGTAAACGGAGGCATGAGCAAGCAAAGGATGGGATGCTGAGAGGCCCAGTTTTCCTGGGTTCCTGAAAGAAGGGAGACAGGGACTGAGATTCCTGCTCTTCTTGGTAGGGGTTGTTGGGCTCTTCCTCCACTCGTGTTAGAGCAGGGACAGAGAGAGGAGGGCTCTGGTTTCGGCTTTGTCATCAACAGTCCTGGGATCCTGGGCAAATCACTTCAGCTGCCCCGGGTCTCTAGATCCACATCTATACCGAGGGAATGACCCTCATCTTCTCCACCTCACTGCCTTACAAGGCTCGAGGGAGAGAATGCAGGGCAGAAAACCCATCATTTACCTATTCATTCATTTCTCCTGTTTGCCACGTTTCCTTGCCTCCTTCCCAAATCTGCTTTAAAATCCTCCACCTTCAGAAAGCCTTCCCTGCCCTGCCCCTACTGCATGTTTCCTGCCTCTGCATCCCTCCACAGCTCTTGAGTGCTAGCTTTACACTGACAAGTAAGTACACCACTGTCATGTGCTTTAAGCCTTGTTTGTAGAAGTTCTCTGCACCTTATCTTTCCATCTGGCCGTGAGGAAAGGGGCTCAAGCTTCCCTGTCAAACCAGGCACACACCCAGAATTGGAAACCCACAGGGGTGGGACCGAGCCCCCTCTTCCCTCTGCAGCGCCCCCGCCCCCTGGGGGCTGTGCTATGCCACGAGCCACCAGACATCCGTGAGAACCGCAGCAAGAAGTGGGCTGGGACACAACCATGTGCTTAATCAGAAACAGCTTTGTGCTCACACAGCTGTCCAGGGGATAAAAATAATAGTAATAAAAGTTTAAGAGCAGTCTGTATTTTCTGTCTATTTTAATCAGTTTTTGTGATGAAATTGAACTCCATTTCTAGATCTGGGCCCCAGGGCTGGAGTCCTTTGCTGGCTTTCTTGTGCCCCCAGAGAAGCATGGGGGAGGAAGGTGGTGGTGTGTGGAGGTGGGGGGCCTCCACATAGAGAGGAAAACGTGTCCTTTTATGGACAACACCTCACCCCTTCCACTCCTGGGCTCACTCTGGGCTCAGCCCTCCAAGGCAGCATTTCTTCTCTCTCCCCCGAGAGAGGTAACCCTAGGCAGGGGGAATGAGGTCTTGGGAGGCTTCTTGGAGGGGTCTGAGCTTCCAGGAGCCCCATGCATAGGCAGGGCAGAGGGGCTGGCCTCTCTCTCTGCCTGGGAACAAGCAGCAGGCTGGCATAATCAGGAGGGAGGGAGCTCTGGTTAGGATAAGTGCCTTTCTGGCTTTCCAGTTGGGTGACTGTGAGTCCCTGGGCAAGTTCCTGACCTTCTTCACCAGGAAAATGGGGATAATAATACATCAACAGAGGAGTGAATGAGATGTGGGGTAAGAGCTGGTATTTACTGGGCCCTTAGTCCGTGCCTGGCATGATGCTAAGCTTCATACACTTGTTTCAGGTTGAACCACCGCTTGCCAACATTCAAGTGTTTCTGACCTACTGAAGGGGCAATTTTATTTAGTTCAACCTAATACACATTAGCTGGCTGTGATAATATAAAGAATAATCACGGAAGTGGGAGCAGACAGAAGCCAAGAAAATAAGAGTGGGTCAAAGTCAGCTCAGCCATAATCAGAGAGGCTCCCTGGCCACAGCAGCAGTGACCACAGTGGTTAGGAGCCAACACTTGAGTTTAAATTCCCACCCAGCTAGGTATTAGCTGTGTGGCCCTCAGTACATCACTTGGTCTCTGTACACCTCAAATGAGGCTTTAAATTTCATTGTCATGGTTACAAATTATCTCCGAGTTACCAAATCCAACAGCCAATGCTCAGGCTCATTTATTCCACTTGGCAGAAGCATTTGAAGCGCTGATCTCCATCATTCCTTTCTTATTGATATGATCACTCTCTAGCCTCTGGGACACCTCTCTCTCCTGGATTTCCTCCTGTCTCACTGTGGCCATTCCTTCTCAGGCTCCTTCGCAGACCTCCGTCTTGCTTTACTTCTGTGTTGGAGTCTCTTTCCCTACTCCATCCACATCCACCCCTAGGGACATTTAACCCCAGGGCATTCAGTGGGCTCATGTGGATGGCTCCTCATATCCTGCCTCCAACCCTGACCTCCCTCCTTCTCTCCAGATTCATCTAAATGCCTTTCTATGTGACATGCCCACTTGGATGTCTAATGGATATCCTTAAACTTCACTTCACGAAACTCTTGACTGTTCCCCAACCCCGATCTCAGTAGGTAGTACCACCATTGACTTGCACTCCCCCATGAAAACCAAGGATCACCTTTGACATCGCTGTCTCTCTCTGTTTGCAATGCATCAGAAAATTCTATCTGCTTTACTGTCAAAATATGATAAATCTAATCATTTCCCATCTTTTCCGTGGAGTGTAAGCTGCCACCATCTCCTGCCTGGGCCACCGCAGCAAACTCCCGTCTGCTCTCCCTGCCTTCCCTCTCACCCCTCCTGGGTCTGGCCCCTACCTAAGTGGTCCTTCACAGCATCCAGTGTTGTCCCATCACACTTAGAATAAAATCCAGTGTCCTGGTCATGGTCTGCAAAGCCCTGCAGATCTGGACGCTGGTCCTCCTCAGCCTCATTTCCTCCCATTCTGCTCCCAACCCAGGGCTCGGCCACCCTGGTCTCCTTGCTCCTCCTTCTGGGAGTGCTCTGGCCCAAGCTTCGCTCAGGGCTTTGCTCCGGTTCCTTACCTCTTCCTTCCTCCTGCTGGGATTCCTTCCCATAAGTCTTCAGGCCCCTATTCAAATGCCTCTTCCTCAGAAGGGCCACACCCTCTCCCACAACAGCATCCCTCCCCCAACACCCTGCTTTGCTTTCTTCATAGCACGTGTTTTTGCCTGAGATCACATGACATATCTGTTTAACCGTATTTTTGTCTCTCCCTCACTCAAATGTAAAGTCCTTGAGAACAGGAATCTCTGTTTTGTTCACTGCTTTTAACTCCAGCCCCAGGAGCACTGCCTGGCAGAGTGGGCACTGACATACCAGTTGGATGAGTGACAGTGCAGGTGCCCAATGGAACGCCACCCTCTACCACACACATGTACCACCCTCCATGGTTATGAAGGCCCTGGCCTCACTGGTAGCTGAAGCCTCATGCCCTCAGTTGTGTGGCTGGGAAGGGCCACCTGAGTTGCCCTGTCCTGGCACTGGGGCCTACAAAAGTCTTTGCCTCCTCACTTCTCACCTGGGTCTGAATAAGAGGGAATGGGCTACTCAGGCCAGAGGTGCAGAAGGACTTCCTAGCAGGAAGGGCTGTTCCTAAGGGAGACCCAGATCTCTTGGATAGCGGACACTGTCATGTTTTCCACTAGACAGGGAGGCCCTGCAGGTCGTGGAAAGGTGCAGACACTGGAATAAGGCACACCTGGGTTCGAGTCCTGCCAGGGTAACTCAGGCTATGACTCCCTGCTCAGGGTGACTTGAAGGGCCTGGGCTTCGGGATCAGAGACACAGGATCTCCTGCATAATGTCTTTGTGACCAGGGAAGGGCTGTTGACCCTCGCTGAGCCTCGGTTTTCCCACTGAGAAAGATACCCTGCTCATCTTTTGCATAAACCAAAAACGCACAAGAGTCTTTGGCCATGGCAGGCCTTGAAGGTCAGTGTTTTCTCCTACTGGGTGAGTTTTCTGGCAAGTTCTTACCCACTCCAGGCTTCAACTGCCTTCTGTGGTACAAGCTGACATGCCTGCTACGGTGCTTGGAAAGGAAAGCAGTAGGACCATAATTAAGAACATGCACAGGAGCACCTCTTCTTTACAGAAACAACCCAAACAGCATGACTGAAAGAGCCAGAGGTGCTGCATTGTGAAAGCTACGTCCCTCTGTCTTTCCTATAAGAGGGAAGTAGTGTGGCTAATAGAGAATAGCCGATGAGCCAGTCATTTTTATGAGGTCTTGAAATACATCATTATATTGGCCACAGAAGCATAGTCTTAATGGTGTTTGGCACAGGCTGGGTGAGTGACAGCAAGTGACGATGCAGGGCCAGCCTGACATCAGCATCAGCTGTGGTCCTCACCCTGAGTGTGGAGAGACCTTGCAGCCCCTTGGGAGGGATGTAGGATCGTTCTATCCAGAGGTCCAGGGGGCAGCTTATAGATGGAAAGACGGATGGCCCCGCACAATGATGGGACTTGAAAATTGTCAGGGTTGCTTCTTAGGGCGAGCAGTTCTTTATTGTATTTTAATTCATGTCTTCTTTTAAGAATTTGATTAAAAACTATGAACTCTCTCTTCAGAAAAATGCTCTAATCCACAAACACACAAAATATTGCCTTAACATCAAAGGGTGCATGGATCTATTGGATCTCCAAGTCAGGTACTACTGCCCCAGGGACCCTCTCTGAGAGGACCGGGGATGGAGCAGGACCTAAAGCCTACTCAGCTGAGAGGAGCACAGGGAAAGATGCTCAGGAGCCTGCAGTCCTTTACTCCTTGCCCAGAGGTGGCTTTTGATGGAAAGATAACGCTAAATGTGGCAAGAAGGCCACTCACATGCAGGGCGTGGACAGATCTCCTTGTATAGCAACAGGGAAGAGAGTGGGTGTGGAAGGGGCTGCCCTTTATCTCTTTGAAAAACAGGAGTCAGTCCTGTTATCTCAGCTGGTCTTCCTCTGATTCCTTTCCTAGCTCTCCTCCTAAGACCCAACTTCCAAACTGCAGCCTGAGGCCAAACCCTGCAGAGGCCCCTCTGAAGGAATCAGAGACAAAAAAGAATCCCCCTCCCCACAGAGTATTCTGTACTGGGGGAAAGGAAATTTTATTTTGAAAACAAAGTTAGGTTTTAAAAATAAACTGTTTGCTCTTTCTGGAAAAGGTGCTGACACTTTGCAGATAAGGAGAATGAACTGTCCTCCTGCCTTCAGCTAGCCATGTAAATAGGACCCAAAGATGCCAGGGATTCCAAAAGCAGATGACCTCATTAGCAGGCAGGGCTTCCTCATAGATCAGTTGGAACCAGCACTGGTCCCAAGTATGGGGTTAAGTTCCCAGAAACACTATTTTTTAAATGGCAGCATCTGTCTAGAGAAAAGCAGGGCTCTGACCTGAGTGGTGACAGGAGGAATCACTAACAGCAGCTCCTTCCCGGAGCCTCGGAACAAGCGCTCTAAGCCTCTGCTGAGCTAACTACACACTCTGATCCATCAGATCTGCTCCCTTAGACTCAGAGAGCCCCTGTGACAGACACACTCCCCGAACTCCGAGGAGACACACACAGTATTCTGCAATGTCAGCTTTACTGTTGGCTACTGTCAATTAGTCTGTACTGCCACTGTGTGTGTGTGTGTGTTTTTTTTTTTTGAGACTTTTGAAGACTGTCTTTTCTTTTCTACCATTCATTATGTATCACGGATCTCAGCTTTTATGATCAGGAAATCATATTACAAAATCCAGAATGGGGACAATGATTCCATGTCCTGTGGAATGGCAGTGAGACAGGCTAGGGTTTTAGAACCAAGTAGTTATATTCAGGAGTCAGAAGAACCACAAAGCTAGTCTTCAAGATGCCTTTTTTGGACACTAGCTTTTAACGTGTCACCAATAGTTACGAACCAGGCATTTCAAGGTCAAGAGATTGTTTTCCCCAAACTACCTTTTTATACAGTTCCAGGAAAGTAACAAAATAAAAATCCAGAAAGGGCACTGGATTGCAAGTCTTAAAATGTAGTCTGGTCCTGCTTGGCCCTAAGTAGAGCAGGGAACCTTACGAGGGCCGCTTTCCCTCCCTGAATGGCCTGGGTTTCCCACCCTAAACCATCACAAGGTTTGTTCCACCCCAAAGTCTCTAGTTCTCACTCCATCCCGAGGAGAGAAAGGAGAGTCACAAATACACTGCCTGCATTTCTTTAGGACAAATCCCCATGCCTCACAATGTGGACTTGCCCCTCCTCACACGGAACTCCACTCAGACCTGGCAGACCTCTGTCCCCACATGTCTCTCCCTCTTCCTCTGCTGTATTATGATTACTTATTTCTTCTTGCAGAGGCAGGCCTGTCCCCTCTCCCCGAAACTCAGCCCCAACTCACCTTCCAGAGGAAGTGTCCCCACAGGGACCCCACTCTCCGTCCTCCTCCTCAAGGGTCTGTCCTGCCAGCACTGACACTTGTTTGCTGCGGCTTGTAAAATACTATGTAGTCATTTTCCTGTGGGTGTGTCTCTTCTCCTCCTGCCCTGTGTCCGGCTTCCCTGCCTGGCATGTTGGGGTCAGGACTTGGGAGGGGGGCCGACAAGGTGAGCAGCCCTACTCCCAGCCGGGGGAGGGACCATCAAGTAGAGTTCCTGCTTTCCTTCCTGTCTCACTGTTTTGCAAAAGATGGCTTGACATTCACAAAGCAAATGCCTTAAGGAGGGGTGGCAGCCTTGGGTGCAGTTCTGTTCGGGAATGGTAGGAAGGGAGTGCTGAGAAGCAGGACTCTATGTGTGGCGGCAATGGGTGGGCACGACCTACCGTCCACGGTGACTTGGCAGGAGCACTCGGCCTGGCCAGAGCTGTTCTTGGCTACACACTTGTATAAGCCTCTGTCCTCGGGCAGTGCCTTCTCGATGGAAATGGAGCACAGTGAGCCTGAGGAAGAAGAGAAAGAGGAAGAGTTGTTTAGTAGACCAGGCCTGGGTTCAATCCGTGCCCTAACACCTGGAGCATCACAGGCAAGCATTACTCACATGGGCAGCCTTGGGAGCCTGGAAGTCAGAGGCCCTGTGGGAATCAACACCCGCTCCCCACCAAAGCCAGGGCACTTTTTGCTGAAAACTCAGGTCCAAAATAACTGACCCCTAAATACACTACCTGCTGGTACCCAACCCCACTTCCAGCAAATTCTCTTATGGGGATATAAGGGAAAGGCAAGAAGAAGAGAAAATATAGTCTCTGCCTTTGGAGAGCAACAGAAGGGGCAGATGCACACAGGCGCCCACACTGCGCATCACCAGGAGAGACAAGCAGCAGTCAGGCACAGTGCACAGACTACAGGAGGGACAGGGTAGGTGAGGATGCTCTGCCCAGCGCACAGCATTGATTCTGGGATTGCATCCTAGAAAAGGATGTTTTGAACAAAGAAGTGGGTGGGCGAGGGCAGGAGCCCCTGTTCAGCAGGGACACTGGCCTGTGGGAAGATCAGTTGGGAGGAGACGGTGATCAGCCTGAAACCCCGGAGCTGGCTTTTCAGAAATGGTATCTGAGCTGAGAATTATGGACAATGAGGGGCCCTGGGCTGGGAGAAGGGTGCTGGGGGGTTGTCTCCCTTAGTGCAGGGTGTTTTGGTCTCCTCAGAGAGGGGTGGGATGGCCTTCTTTCCCATGAATCCACCCCTGCCTAAGCATACCTCTTCTGGTCAGACTGGGCATACACAGGATTCTGGTCCTCACCCATTCTAACTCTCTCATCCCAGGCTTTGCTACTTCCCTGGGTTGGGTGGTTCTCTTGGAGTGTGAGGATGGGCCAGCTGAGGACTGGGACTGCTGGGCCAGACAGGAGGGCAGCAGTCCTCTAGTTCCTGCCATCAGACACACACACCAGCCAGCAGCATGGCGTCCTGCCCAAAGCTGCCCTGTTGTCAGGGCAGCCGTCATCACACGAGGAAGAGGACAGAGCCAGAGCCGCACGCATCCTGCCGCCTGGAGCCACTGCTTTTGGCCACCTCCCTTACCACCACATTACGCAGCACAAGCCGTTGGCCCTGAGCGGGCTGAGCTGTGTGCATCCCAGGTGTACAGGTGGAGCTGCATGGCCAGGAGGGAGGCCAACAGGCCCTGCTCCCAGAGGGCCTTTGGTCTCAAAAATACCAGCACCCCCATCAGACAGATGCATAGACGTGACTAACAAATCCAAGGATATTCAAAGAGAGGAGGGCGACGTCAGTTCTGCCAGAGAACCTCACTGAGGCTGGAAGAGAATGCAGAGACATAATAGTTCCCTTTACTTCTCGGCACCTGAGTAAAGTCTTAAATAGGGAGACCTGGTCCTACTGACCCCCTGGGGCAGGACAGCTGATCTGCGCCCCTCACTCCTACACTCTCATTTCTACCACCCCTTCGGGAAGGGCCTCACTACGCTCTCCCACAGGGGAGGGCAGTGCGTCAGGACCTCTTCTCCCTGGGGTCAGGAGACAGAATTTGCAGGAACTGTCACAGAAAGGATTTAGGTTGGATTTTTAGGACGTCTGTCATGAGAGTGAGAACCATGAGGCACAGGAATCGGGGAATGAGGGTAACTATCTACTAGAGAGAGAAATTTGCATTCATCTGGGAGGGCAGGGAATGGGAAGATGACCTCTGGCCCCTAGACTTGAGGCTCAGAAGAAACAGACCCCATCTCCCTCATTTCCCTCAGTCTGAGGCTATGGCTCTGGCAGCAGATCCCCCACTCCCAATGAACATCCTGGTCGAATCCTTGATTGCCTTTCAGCTTCAGGTCCCCAGGTGCCTTCAGCCTTAAACCCAAATGCCACAAACTGCAAGGACAGTAGTGAGACCCCCAGGAGAGGTGGAGCATGCAGACCACAGCCCTCGCCTCTGATGGGGGGAAGCATCAGAGAAGGCAGCTTTTCCAAGCCGCTCAGGGCCTGGACCCCCGGCCACATGCGTGGGCAGGGGGAGGGCCCCGGCAGGCCCTGGGCGGGGCTAGCCCAGATTGAAGCATCTGGTATTTCCTGTGGGACAGCTTATTCCTGACCTCCAGAAGAAAAACTGTTTCCCAGAGTTTTTTTGAGAAGCCTCAGCCTGGTGGGGAATTTTGAGAGGGAGGCAAGGGGGATGGGAGCGGTCACCACAGAACCAGGGATCCAATGAATGGCTCAGCTAGCACCATCCCTGGGAGAGCCCTCACGGCCACTGAGTCTGAAGACTCCATCCTGCTCTTTTTCCGAGTGTGTGGGGAGAGGAGAGGCGGGGCCCAAACCCTAGACGCCCTATTCCGAGGCTGTCCTCAGTCAGCACTGTCTCCTGACCTAGTTCCCCTGGCATGTCGGGACAGTGCGACTCAGCTCCAGGTCACCTCCTCAGGGACGGTGCCCTCCATGCCACCTGTAAGCAACCCCGGCCACAGATGGACCTCTTCTGTGCCCTAAATTCACCTTCATCAGAGCAAGTCTTCCAAGGCCATTTCTGGAACACACACCTCTTCCCTACACTAGCTCTTGGAGGGCAGCGACTGTGTCTATTGCAAATGTTTTTCCTGAGTCTGGAATGCAGTCACGGAAAAAAAAAATTTACCATTCTGAGAATGACCAAGGCGTATTTCTGTGGCAGGTGATCTGACAGGATCTATGCAAAAGAAAGTCATAAACACTTCATCAAACATAACCTACCACTGAAAAAGTTAATATAGTTTCTAAAAGGAAAAAAAATTCCTAGTCAGAATTCAAGTGGATTATGCACACAACAAAAGGGGCCAGAATACTGCCTCCCACACAGTAGGTGCTGTACAAATCCGTGTTTTGCAGGACGGACTTACACAGGTTTCGAAAAAGCCTTTGCAAGATCCCACACTGAAGACAATTAAAAATGAATCATTGGTGGACAACAGCAACAAAAATGAATCCTCATTATTAGATTCGAAGAAATGTTTGCCAGAGAGAGAAGCCTGGCTCGGGGAACAGGAAATAAGGCATAAAGATGAAAGCACTTCTCAGGAGCAGCACAGAGCTCACTGGCCGGCCGCTGGCCTCCCACTCCTCGGCCAAGGCCTGAGCAGCTCTGCCGGAGGTCCAGGAGGGGCCTGGGGAGGCCACCCTGCAGGCCCGGAGGGCAGACCCAGCTGTTGTAAGCGAACACCATCCGCCCAGCAGCTCCAGGGATGCAGGAAGAGCAAGGACTTCTCCACACATCCCTCCAAGAATTTACAGTCAGATCCATCTGACTGCCACCACACCTCTTCTGCTCTCCTCGGCCCTAAATGGAGTGGACATAATCGTGTCTAGGGGAGGCCTGCGGGCAAGCCCTAGCTAAGCTATAGGGTTCAGAGAAGTCCCCCTGAAACCTACGAACAGCATCCACTAGCAGCAAATGCACAGATACACACATTGATGGGGAGAGAACGCAAGAGTCAGTCATGGCCAAAGGCCCTGGTGACAATGGTCTGGGAAGGGGTCTTGGAGGAATCCAATCTTGATCTTAGATAACAGACTGGGGTTCAGTGCAATGGAGCAAGAGGGGTTCAAGGAGGTATGGGTGGAGAGGATGCTGAGTGTGGTGTGAAGGATGGGGAAACCCACTTAGCACCCCCTTCTCCCTACAAACCACCTCAAACACCAGCCTCCTTGTTCCCACTGATGCCATCACTAGGACCTAGGCACCCACACGCGGACACTCAGTGGTCCTCCACTCCTTCCTCTTCTTTACCCCTACCCCCACTAAGACAGGCAACAGGTTCTATTAATTCTACCCTTGCTTCTTGAACTGGTTATTTCCTGTCTGTGGCCATGGCTACCTTGTTAGTCCAGGCCTCACCACCTTTCTCTCCAACCTCTTCAGTAAGCTCCTTCCTTGTGTTTGGGCACAGAATCAATCAAAACCCCTAAACCCGAGCTGTGTCCATTGCTCCCCATTCCCAACTCTTACATGGCCCTACTGCCTTTAGAATTGAGTTCCTTAGCATGATGGAGGACGGAACAGGCCGTGCTTCCCTCTCCACCCAGACCACTCTGTGAGCGGGCTTGCCTTTGCTGCTGTCTGCTCCCCTGCCTGGAAAGCCCATGCCCTCCCTCTCCTCACTGGGAGCCCTGCCTGCCTTCAAGGGTCAGGTCAAGACACAGCTCTTTCACCACCAGCCTTTCCCTGCGGCCCCAGCACTCAGTTCCCTCTTCTGCTCCCAGCAGCTCATCACCAGCACTTGACTGGAAGAGTTTTATCACTGTGCGTGTGTGTTCTCTCTCTCCAGATCTACTGAGAGCAGACCCACTTACACCTCTCGGAGGACCCTACTCCCTGCCATGGGGCCTGCTGACATGGTTACTGATAAGGCTTGACCACGGGCCTTCTCCTGGGGACTGTGTTTCACCCCACTCTTGAGGACGTGGAGAGTGAAGTTCTAGAGAAGGGGGTGGGATGGTGGACAGAGTGCCATTGCTGTTTTGAGGCCAGGCCGTCTCCCTGCTGTGGAAGGTGGACAGGCCCGTTTCGAGGTCTGCTTCCTCCGCTGCAGTGAAAATACTTGAAACTCACAAGCCCAGAAGGCACCAGCAGGCTTCCAGCCTCTGGACAGCTGTTGACAGTGTTGGGGGTAAATAGCCACTAGCGTTTTCCCCTGATAGACAATGCTCTTGGGGAGCTGATCAGGGAAGGACAAGTATGCCGACACACTAACAAGAACTAACAAAGAGGTGACAGAGCATAGTGGTCCAGGCTCGGGAACTCAACTGCCCGTGTTCCAATCCCAGCTCTGTTGCTAACTAGCTTGGGCAAGGTCCTTAGCTGCTCTGTTAGATGGGCAGTATAGTGGTTATGAAGATTAAATGAGTGAAAAGTGTAAGATGCCTGGGCCAGTGTCTGGCACATGGTGTTCAATTAGTGCAAGCTATTACTTTTCAAAGGAGAACTACAAATATTTAGAATATTTTTTAAAGTTGGATTTGGGGCTCTCTCTATAATACCCTCCAACCCTCTCCAACCCCTCCACCCCCGTCTCTCTCTAACCTCTCCCTGCACTGGCCTTTTAATCATGTCTTCTTCCTCAACTTTGGCCCTAAACTGTCCCTCTGAGGTGATTCTGTGGTTGGCCTTACTGGGGTAGCTAGTGTCAAAGGGTCTCAGTGTCCAGCAGATACCACATAAGGCATGCTGGGTGTGAACAGCCAGTGTCTAAGGGCTCAGGTGTGTTTCTGAGACCAGGGCTGAGGTCTGCTTGCACTGCTTTGTTGCATGGACTGTTTATAAGCAGCTGTTGGTGGCTCTGCAACTTCCTCGCCACTTCCAGAACAGCAGTGTGGCTGTGGGCATTGCCCTCAGTTGTCTCAACATTAGCCTCCCTGAGGGTGTTACAGCCATGGACCTCACACTGTGTGGGCCTGTGGGACTGTACGTGTCCCAAGGACAACGGCTGCCCACCCTGCATCCTTGCCCAGAGAGGTCACCACAGGCTAACTCAGGAAATGCTCCCAGTCAAGGTTTTAGGTCAGTTTTCCACAAAACTTTCCAACCAGGAAGGGCCCACAGGGGTGGCAGGGAAGGCTTGGACATCTCACCTGTCCCCCTCCATGGTGATGCCCCACTCCCTCCTGCTTGTGGACAGACTGAACTAGCAGAGGCAGGGGGATGGATGAGATGACCCCTGGAGGCCCCTACCCAGCTGAGGATTTTCACGTGAAAAAGCTATCGTGCCAACACATTAACAGAAAATATCCCATTTCTCTCTCTCCTGGCCAGTTTCCCCTTTACTCCTTCAGCAGATTCAAAACGCTCAGCGGTGACAGATTTGCTGCCTGAGTTGCAGAGTGAAGATAGAAACTTCTTCCTGAGCTGAGAGGGATAATGCTATCGTCTTCGAATGCATCATTTGGGTTTTTAAGAGGAAGGAAGAATGCCAGAGGAGGGGTGAGGGAAGGGTGGAGAGGGGTGCCCTCAGGGGACAGGAGGGAGGGCAGCTAGCCGGGGGAGTGCTTCTGACGCCTCAGCTGATCTGGATTTGACGGAACCTGTCCACTCGGGCCGCCCTCTACCCTTCAAGGGTAAAATGCCACCTCCTGGGAGCTCTGTACTCTGCCCTGTGCAGAGCCTCCAGCATTAGCCTGGAGCTCAGGCGGGACTCTATTCCAGTGCCGGCCACCAGAGTGGGGTGTGGGACGCCTGCTGGCCTTGAAGCTCCCATCCAGACTTGGGATTTACAAAAACATTGCAAACCAAATTGAGGGTCAAGGGAAAACACCCCTCTCACCTCCACCTCTTCTCTAGGTATAAACTGACCCATCTGAGAACTCCAAGCCCTGAAAGGCCCCAGATGGCAGGATTTAGGGCCCCCCCCGCTTCTCCCCACAACCCAAGAATGTGAAATACCAGCAAACAAAAGTCTCATCCAAATTAGGAAGCGAGTGGCTCTGTCCGCCTGTGTGTGCCGCAGGGGCTGCTCAGGCTTTTGGATTTTCCCCTTCAAATCCACAGTGTTATCAAGGTTTAAGTTTCTGTTGACCCCCACATCATGCCCTGTCACTGCATACCCTGCCCTGAACCTAAAATGCTCCTTCAAAGGCAGTTCTCAGCCCCAATCCCCTGGTCAGCCCCAGCCCCAGTGCCCTCATTTTCAAGCCTGTGACCAGAGCCCTCTAGATGCCAGAGCTGGGGCATCAGCTCAGGCCCAGGGCTGCTCTGAGGAGCCACACCTGGGGGTTCCATGAGGGGCCCCTGCTGGACAGATGGCGAGACCCAGGCGTGTGCCTCAGGACCAGACTCCCATCCCTGACCCCAAGCAATGGAATGAGTGCCCAAGGTCCTGAGTGGGCACAGATCCCATGAGTGAGGGGCATAGAGAGTGACCATTCCCACCCAGGCTCTGGGCTATGAGCACCATCAACAAGTCAGGGCTCCAGGAGCTGACAGTGGCTGGGACAGAGCCCCCTTCCTCCCAGCCCCAACCGTGTTACCTTCTTGGGAGAGGATGATGAACTTGGTGGTCTTCAGGGTCTTCCCATTCAGCGTCCAGGTGATGGTGGCCGGGGGGTCAGAGGACACCTGGCACTGGAGCAGCAGCTTCTCACCCTCCACCACATGGACATCTTGTAGCTTCTCCTTGAAGGTTGGGACTGTCCCTTGGCTCTCTGGTCTTTTTTCATTTTCTGTGGCCCCTGCATGGCCCCTCTTGCAGTTCACATCATTCTTAACTTCCTTTTCGAGTTCCTCTTTCCCAGCTGGTTTTGGAGTCTCAGCTGGCTTGGCATTGCCCATGGGTTTAGGGGTCTCGTCTGGCTTGGCACTGCCCATGGGTTTGGGGGTCTCAGCTGGCTTGGTGTTACCCAAGGGCTTGGGGGTCTCAGCTGGCTTGGCACTGCCCATGGGTTTAGGGGTCTCAGCTGGCTTGGTGTTACCCAAGGGCTTGGGGGTCTCAGCTGGCTTGGCACTGCCCATGGGTTTGGGGGTCTCAGCTGGCTTGGTGTTACCCAAGGGCTTGGGGGTCTCAGCTGGCTTGGCACTGCCCATGGGTTTGGGGGTCTCAGCTGGCTTGGTGTTGCCCAAGGGTTTGGGGGTCTCAGCCAGCTTGGTGTTACCCAAGGGCTTGGGGGTCTCAGCCAGCTTGGTATTACCCAAGGGTTTGGGGGTCTCAGCCGGCTTGGTGTTACTCAAGGGTTTGGGGGTCTCAGCCCAGCTTGGTGTTACCCAAGGGTTTGCGGTTCTCGGCCGGCTTGCGTTACCCAAAGGGTTTGGGGGCCTCTGCTGGCTTGGCGTTGCCCATGGGTTTGGGGGTCTCGGCTGGCTTGGTGTTGCCCATGGGCTTGGGGGTTTCAGTTGGCTTGGTGCTACCCAAGAGTTTGGGGGCCTCTGCTGGCTTGGTGTTACCCAAGGGTTTGGGGGTCTCGGCTGGCTTGGTGTTGCCCACGGGTTTCAGGAACCCTAAAGGCTGGGCATTGCCCACAGGCTTGGGACTTTCTGCTGCCTTGGCATTCAAGGCCTCAGCATTGTTGCTGCCATTCTCTGCTGGTAATTTTTTCTTACTGCCTAACACCGAGCGAAAATCTGGAGTGGCAGGTTTTGGAGGTGGTACCTTCTCAGGCAACGGGGTCTTGGGAGTCCCCTTCTTGGCCAGGACGGAGCGGAAGTCAACCTGCTGGGGGCTATGCACCTTCCTCTCTTCCTCTGACACCGTCTTGGGCTTCACTTGCCGCTGCAGGTTGGCACGGAAATCCATTTGCTCGGCTGGTATCTCCTTCAGGTCCTCTTCAGACAAAGTCTTGGTACTCACCTTCTTGCCCAGGAGGTCACGGAAGTCCAGCTGCTCCACCTCCTGCTGGCGGATGGCCTCCTCAGTGTGCTGCCGTGTCTCCACACGCCTCTTGAGCACCCCACGCACGTCTTCGCTGTCCTCCTCCTCTGGCCGCCCCTGCCCTCTTGCTGGCCAGCCGGGCCTCAGGCTGCCATAGTGGTCACCACCATCAGCACCAACTCCTCGGCTGGAGAGGCCCTCGCAGCTGGCAGGCTCCCTCCCCCTGCAACCAGTGAAGGGAAAAAGGAAAGTAGCAAGAGGAAAAGGGGCCGGGTAAGAAAGAGACGTCAGGGGAGAGCAAATCCCCGAGGGAGGGAGGGCGGAGGGGAGGGGAAGAGGAGGGGGGAGCTGGCCAGGCGGTGTTTATAGAAGGGAACATTGGTGAGAGGCGCTTGCTTGCTTAGTTGGTTTGTTACATCGGTAATGACTTCAGTAGCCTTATAAGGGTGTGTGCAAAAAAAAAAAAAAGAAAGAAAAAAATTCACCCCCTCTCCCTCCCCTACTCTCCCTCCCTCATTCCCCTTCCAATCTCTCTCTCTTGGCTCGGCAGCCTTGGCCAGAGGATACAAACAATCTGGGGCTGCTGGGATGGGCCTGCTGGGACCAGGAGGAAGGTGGGTGGGTGGTGGCATGGAGCCTGGCCCAGCAACCCCAGGGGGCACTCACCGCATGGGGGCTCTGGATGGGCTGCTCTGCAGCATCAGTGCCACCTGGCAACTGCATTCACCAACCCGATTCCTGAAGAATGCAAGGGATCAATACAGAACAAGAGGCTCTCTGGGCCGGGGGCCTCTCAGCCTAGGGCTGTGGGCAGGCAGCCCGTGGCCACAGGCTGGCGGGCTGGCTCCAGGGACCCTAACACGTCCACACCACACCTAGATTTATGGCAGAGTCTGCTCCCACTGTGGTCACCCTTTATTTTTCCAGCTCTTGTTTAAAAAGGACAAAAAAATAATCTTTTGGACAACAGCTAAGGAAGGCCTTAACAGTAGGAATGCTTTTCTGAGAGTATAGAACAAAAATAATACAACGAAACGGTCACTCACTCAAAGAAGAGTGAAGACAAACCCTGCTGGGGCTATGATGGAGCTGACTGGTCTAGACTGTGCAGCCCCAGGCAGCCTGCCCAGTGACCTTGAGTCTGACTCCATGCTCCCTTAATACAGAAGTAGGTCTTCCCTCTCCTCAGAAGGTCCCCCTAGCCACTAGGTCTCCTTCGCCTGCTTGTGAAATGAAAACACTTTCCGATCCCTACCCATCAGCCAATGCCTCAGATCAGAACTTTCTGTATTAAAAATCTAACAGGTGTCTCCTGACATGGGTGGCCCTTTCTCTGGGAGAAGAGCTCCAGCTTCTTCAGCCCACTGTGAAAACAATTCCATCTGCTCTGGTGTGCGACCAGCTGAGGGCCCCTATGCTCAGGAAAGAAGCTGTATCAAGCTCAGAACCCTGGTGGGCTTACAGCGGACCAACCCCGCAAGGCTGCCATCTGCTGGCTTTTCTGGGCTCTGACCAGCCAAGAAGGTTCTGCTCGGTCTGGGGGAAGCAGTTGGGGCAGATCTGAGAGCCAAAGGCAGTTCTGTCTGTTAATAACCATGTTTTTTGGAGCACCCCCAGCTTTCATGACTCACATCCACTACCTTTCTTGTCCCCACAACAGCCTAGTGAGGTCCAGAGCACTGTTGTAAAGGGAAGGAAGGGAGGCTCAGGAGTTTACGGGAGGCAGAGCGGGAATCTTGGGGTCGCCCGCTCATTCTCTGCACTTGGCCGTCTTACTGGCACTTCAGGGGCTGACACGTGCCCCAGATCCTCCCTCAGACATAACTCATTTCACTTAGTCTTATGGCAGCTCTGTGAGGTTGGGGGGTCAGCACTGTATTCATAGGTAAGAGAAATGAGGCTTATAATGGTTAATTTGCTTGAACTCATAATGCTGGCCAGGCAGAAAGGGGCTGGGACCTGGGACCATATTAATCCAAGACCTGCAACTTTCCCATCCTTCCCTACAGTGCTCATCAGTACAAATCTATTCTGGGACACATGTGTGTTTGTGTGTGTCTACGTGTACATCAACCACACATATATGGGGTCTACCCAATGGAAGCCTGTGGGTCCATGTTTGGGAACACGTGCATGTGTATAAGCCATCCCCATGTGGACCAAGCTGATACTTGTGGGTACCCGCCTTGCTTTACCTGGCCTCCGTCCCAATGGAGGACCAGAACCACCTCAGACACCGGCAGCCCAGGGTGCGGCAAATGATTCTTGAAGGCCCCTGGTGTCATTACCCAGGCTCTAGGACCTGCTTGATGGAAGGAGAGGTTGATCTTTTGTGCTCTCCCACCCTCCTCTCATCTGCTGGGGTCCCCTCCTAGCCACCTTCCTCAATGCTCAGGCTCTCAGGGGTGCAGATTCAAGGCTCAGAAAGCCTCATGTCTGGGGAGTTTGAGGGCCCAGCAGGCCCCTTTGCTCCACAAACTGCAGTTAGGTGCCCCCTCAGTGCCAAGACCTGGGAAGGCTGGGAGGGCCTCAGAGGCCTGAGAACTTGGCACAGGAGGCTAATGGGGCTTCAGTCAACTTGCAGAATAACCAAGGGAGGTCACTCAGGAGTGAGGCCCAACCCCCTGGCACCCTGCTCTTGCCACACTGCTGGCCAGTGTAAGCCACTCTGTTCCCGCTTTTCTTTCAAGCACAGGGTGCAGGGCCCAGGGTTGGTGTGGAGCAGGAAGACAGGATGCCCAAGGGCCGTGTTTTCTGGAGAGACACTGACCAGATGGCCCTGCTTTACCCCAGCCAAGCCCCTCAGAGGCTCTCAGTGGTGGGGTGCCCTGACCCCTGTGCTGGAGTAAGCTCTATCTCCCCATGGGGGAAGCAGATGAGGGCTTCTATTGTTTTCTGTTGCCCGCCTTGAAGGAGGGTGCAGGTGGCCACCCTGAGCACCTGGGCAGTATGAGGGGCAGAAGGGAGGCAGGGAACTGGGGATACCACAGCTGGCCCACTAAGTGGGTCATCCCTTGGCATGATCTGGGGGTCACTATTTCTGCAGCCACAAACTTAAACCTCTGCTGGACCTTTAAGGCAAATCATGTGTTCATTTGGAGCCTACAAAGTCAGAGACACCTGGAACCCACACCCCAGATAATCTAACCAGGTGAACAGCATCTTGGGCCATCTTTGGTGCCTGCACACACTCAAAGTCCAGCCTGCGGCTGAGGATGAGGCCCCTTCCCCCGTGCCCAGCCCAGGTGCTGCCACAGAGGACACGAGGCTATCACCCTATAGCTGGCACCTTTAACAAAGAACAGAAGCCTTTGTGTTCCCTGCCTCCCAAGCCCTGAATAAGATGCCCACTCTTTGGCTATAAAGCCTTGGACTCTGTCCCACTGTGAATCACCCACCCCTGGAATGGATTTTACATGCAAAATTAGTTTAAAGAACTAATTTCCTGGCAAATATCAATCTTTCAAATATTTCAGCTGGAATCTGGAGCTGATTTTTTGACATTTACCCTTTTAGTTCAGGAGACAAGAGCTCGGGAAGGGAAGGGGAGGTAGAAACCACCCACCTGTACAAACCCCCCACCTTCAGCAGGAACAGGTAGCACCTGTCCTACCCCAACCTCACCCAACTTCCTCCTTGAAAGGTGTTCTGTCCCTGGTCTAGGTCTGATTTCTGTCTAGGTCTGGATCTGAGAAAAGCTGGGGGGGGAGAGGGGCCCCTGGCAGGCCTGGTGCACTCCCCAGGGCAACTTTCCACGGACTTGCTCCTTCTCACTGGGGACAAAGCCAAGGCCAGGGCAGCAGCCTCCCAAAGGAACAAAGAAGCTGGACTCTAGGGAGGGAAAAGGGGCAAGGGCTGCATGCAAGGGGACTCTAGTGTGATGTCCCAGGTTCCCCAAGTTCCCATTGCACTTGGGAGAAACGAGGAACAGAGGAGCATCTGATTTAAAGACAGAGCTGAGGATTCCAGTCTGAGCTCTACTATTCACCTCTGGGTGGCTGTGAACAAGCCTGTGACCCTGAGGCCTCAGCTTCTCCCATTATTAATAGAGAAGGCAGCCAGATAACTTCTGAAGTCCTTTCCAGCTAGGACAGTCTAAGTTTTATGACTGTCCCCAGCTGGGCCCAGACAGTCTGCCTGCCGACCTCCCAGTGCAATCCTCCACTCTGGCCTGGCAGACTTCCCACAGCCTTGCTTTGCTCTTTCCTACCCTCCTGTACTCAGTCTATCCAGCAAGACTTTATACCCTTACCTCAAAATCCCACAAAAAGCTCATCTCTTCTAGGAGATGTGATGTATTATCTTGAAGCACTGCTCCTTCCATAAAGACAAGCTCTATTCTAACATATAATCAGTTTCCATCATTTGCATTGGCCTAGAGGAAGAAGAGTCTATCTTCTATTTTGGAGGCAGATTAGCCTTTCTGATTATAACTGGTTCAGGCACAAGGCAAAGGCTCTTGGTGTGTTCTGAGCATACCACTGAAGGTGGTAGGGTGACCAGCTGGCCCACGACCATCTCATCAGCTGACCACAGACATGTCATTATCTCAGCTAAAGTTTTCTGAGCCTTGCCTGGCTAAGTAGAATTTCCTAGCAGATTCAACAATGCCTAAGAAATAATCAATGACTATTGTCTTAAAAGTAATTAAGTATTGGGATGGTTTGTTATGCAACAAAAACTAACTGATACAAGAATAAGGCACATGCCCAGAAAGGACCCATGTGGATGAGGCACATGCTGGGTTTTGTCATTGCTGTAGGAAAACAATGCTCCATCATCACATAAGATACAGAGCCTATCTGTAGCTCAGAGCCTTGAACATGATGGACTCAGTACAGAGAAATGCCAGCAGCACCAAGCCTGCACTTTCTTTACCTTGAAGCCCAGCCCCACACTATTTCGTGGTTCCTCTGGCTCCCCAGTCCCAGGCAGGTACTTTGACAGAAGGTAGGGGGTTAAGGGAGGTTGGTAGGACACGCAGACTCACTTGAGCAGGATCTCATACTGGCCAGCGTGCCAGGGCTGCACGTTCTTCAGGACCAGGGTGAACACATCCTCATTCTGTAACACCTCGAAGTGGCCAGTGTCTTTGGAAAGGGCTTTGCCATCTCGGAGCCAGTGCACAGTGGGGAAGGGGTCCCCAGCTATGGCACAGGAGATGAGGACATTCTGGCCCAGGCAGGCTGTCACTGAGCGAGGCTTGCTGATGAACCAGGGCTGGGTGCCATCCTGAGGTTCTGTGAGTTGGCAAAGGGTTGAGTTAGAGAAGGAGGCCTTTCTGCAGAGAACATCCACTCAACTCTCCACAGCAATGAAGGCCGGAAGACAGTGTCTAATCCAAAGAATGTCTAGTCCAGAAATCACTTTTATTGGATATACAGAGAAAGCACATCCTTCTCATGGCAAATCTGCTGGATTATTTCTCAGAGGGTAAGATTAACATGCATTTGTATATCCAAAAGCAAGGGAGGTTGCCCAGAAGGTAGAGGGGTTCTGGGACAGGTGCCAATGATCTACATGATATATGTATGATTAAGAGCTATCATTTGCTTCATCTGTGCTTAACTTTTCTCTTCTCTTAAAGGTAGGTTCTCTAATGGCAAGGACTTTCACAGGCCATGACTCACCTCCAAAGCTATCACTGCCAAATTGTTAGTGTATTAGGAGATTTCTCTCCTAGCACTCTACGGAGCTTGTCACCAGTAACCCAGAGAGAGCAGGGACTTCAGAAGGCAGGGAAGGGAGGCCCTACCCAGCCAGAGCCTGAGATGTAGGATGCGGAGCTGGCCACTGGGGCTGGGATGGGACCAAGGGAGTCGAGGTCTATGGGGGAAACAAAGGAGGCTCACATGGTTTCCTCGCCTCCAAATCACCTATGGAGAGGCCACAGCAGCATGTCCTCCCCACCCCTGCCCCCATGGCTGGTCAGCGGGTCTGCCTCACCTTGCACCGTGAGCACGGCCTGGGTGCGGACCTCTCCTGCGCTGTTCCAGGCTTCACAGGTGTAAGTGCCTGTGTCCTCTGGGAACACCTCCTGGATACAAAGGCTGTGCAGAGTGCCTCTCTGTTCAAAGTGGAAGTCCTCTGACTCCTGGATTTCATTCCCATCGTGAAGCCAGATGACCTCAGGGGGTGGGTTCCCTGAACAGGGAGGAAGGGCAGGGGGGAAGGTTAGGGAGGCGCTTCCCTGCATCACGTGGCAAGTCTACTTAACGCTATGACATTGTACTAAATACCAAACTCTCCACGCTTCAGTTTTCCCATCCAGAAAATATTCTAACCCAGTCTACCTCACATGTTTGCTGGGAGGATTAAATAAATTAATACAGCCCCCTTAGCAGCCCACTAGAGAAGCAGATTAGAATAGCATCTGGTACAAAGGAAGTCCTCAGTGCGTGGTCATTACAATTACTAAATGACAGGTTTAGGGAAACTGCAAGAATGCAGAAGTGAAAAAATATCATTTCAGAGATAAGAAAACCCAGGAAGAATGGTTTTGAAAATTAGAATTCAACTGGTTTGATCAAACTGAGTGGTAGCTGGATCACTGGGTTCCCGGCAGACATGTTTCCTGCACGGCCTCACCCAGCGTGTACACGTCCAGGCAATGGCACTGTGACTCTCAGAAACTCCCTTGTCAGTTTCCACCAGCAGGAAAGCTCAGTTAGCACTTTTGGTACTGTGCAACTGTTGTCCAAGGGTGAAGATGGGCGCCAGGCTTTCCAAACACAGGGGATAGCATTTTCAGTTTTTACTAGTCTACTTCCCTGGGTAGTTTCTTGCTATCGTGGGGGCATAAAACAACGGCCACCTGTGAGGGTTTTTCTCTGCAGTAAGACCTGAGCCATTACGCTCTGCTTCCCTGGGAGTGACTGCTGAGGGAGGCTGCATGGTGTCAGGCTCTCTCAAGGAGAGAGACGACCACCACCTATCTCTGATGGGTTAGCCAGCACATGTCTGGGGCCAGGTACAGAGTGCCTCTGATTCCTATCAACTCGAGCAAGGAGTGTGTGCAGGGGAAGGGACCCAGCTCTCTGCTGCATCATCCCAGGACTGCCTCCAGCCTGCAGGAGCAGGGAGTTCATCCGAGGATCCCTAAAAGCTGAGTGCACAGGTTCTCTTCCAGCTCATCTTTATCACTTCTACAGCTCAAAAGGAACTGAAAAAACAGAGTGATCTCCAGGCTGTCAGCGGGATGGACCAGAGGCCAGCATGAGTGTGTGTCAGTAAGTCTGTGCCAGGAGACTTCTCCAGCTTTTCTTATTGGCCTCTAGCAAGGACTGTGACCTCTCACATTGGGCTGCTCACCCCATGCTCTTGTCACCCCACCCCTGTTTTAGAAGGATGTCTGCTCCATTGCCTCACCTCAAAATCTGAACAGAGCAACTGAGACTATCTTCCGAGAGTTGGGAAGCTCTCAGAGCATCTGGTTTTGGACCAATGTTCACAATCTTCCAGCTACATTGGCTACATTATGTTTTCAATTAATCCCTCACCTCTGCCACCTTCTTACCCTGGACCACTCAAACTTGAATCCAGAAAATCTGCCCAAAGAAAAGCAGAAAAAAGGGGCCAAGAGGCTCCACTTCTAGGGGCCACTGACTGGCAGTCCCAGACTGATTTTCAGGTGGATCAATGATCTGAGCAGGACGTCGGGGAGCAACCCACGTTGCAAGCATGCTCGTTTTCACATATACCCCGAGGAGAGGGATGCAGGGACAGACCTGACACCTGGACTGTCATGGTGACCTGGCTTCCGTCCATGACTCTGAGATCAGAGAGGCCCTGCAGGAAGAGGGGTGCGACGGGCTTGCTGGGGGCTGCGGACAGGAGGTACTCCCTCTTCTCGTCACTCTTCTTTTCTGTGTGGCAAACAATGTAGGGGGAGCACTCATTCACTCACCTGACAGACACAGGCTAAATGACCACTTGGCACATAAGCGTGTTGAGGCTCAGGCTCCCAGCAGAAACTGAACCGCGACCAGACAATGAGTCTGGGAGGCCCTGGAGAGGACTAGGAACAAAGCGTGCCCATTCCCTGCTTGGCATGACAGTGCTCTTGCCTCCCAGCAGTGAAAGGACGAGGCCCCTGTCGGGCCAGGCCAAATCTAGGCTCTGGTTCCTCAGGAGAACTTCCAGCGGGGAGCCAGTACTTGGCATCTTATGATATTTTTTTTCTTCAATGTTATTTACTTTTTTGAATAAGTGATACACTCATATGGCATAAAATTCAAAAGGTCCAAAGAGTATGTGTACCATCTCCTTTCTATCCCTGTCCTCTGGACAACTGTCTCTCCCCAGAGGCAACCAATTTTCAGTTTCTTGTTCATCTTGCCAGCGGTTGTCTACATGTATAACAAACACAAACAAACTCTTTTATTTGTCTTCTCTTAAATAAAATGATAGCACATTATACACAATGATTGGCATCCTGCTTTTTCTTCTAACAATACAGTCATCCCTCTGTATCTCCAGGGTATTGATTGGTACCAAGACACCCTGCAGATACCAAACTCTGCAGATGCTGAAGTCCCTTATATAAAATGGCATGATATTTGCATATAACCTAAAACCCTCTTGTATACTTTAAATCATCTTAGATTACTTCTGATACCTAATACAATGTAAATGCTATGTAAATAGTTGCTGGGGTGTGGCAAATTCAAGTTTTGGTTTTTGGACCTTTCTGGAATTTTTTCCTCAAATTTTTTAAAACTAAGAAACAAATCCTTTTTAATACACAATTTTAAAGGTTACTTTCCTTTTACAGTTATTACAAAATATTGGCTGTTTTGTACAGTACATCCTTGAGCCTATCTTATACCCAAGAGTTTGTATCCCTGACTTCTCCACTCCTATGTTGCCCCTCCTCCTCTCCCAACTGGTAACCACTAGTTTATTCTCTGTATCTGTGCGTCTGCTTATTTTTTGTTATATTCACTAGTTTGTTGTATTTTTAAGATTCCACATGTAAGTGATATCATACAGTATATGTCTTTCTCTATCTGGCTTATTTCACTTAGCATAATGCCCTCCAAGTCCATCCATGTTGCTGCAAATGGCAAGGTTTCATTTTTTATGGCTGAGTAGTATTCCTACACACACACACACACACACACACACACACACACACACACATACATATATATACATACATATATATACACATACACACAGACACACACCCCCACATCTTTTTTATCCGTTCATCTGTTGATAGACACTTCGGTTGCTTCCATACCTTGGCAATTATAAATAATGCTGCTATGAACACTGGGATGCATGCATCCTTTTGAATTAGTGTGTTTGTTTTTTTCAGACATATCCCCAGGAGTGAAATTGCTGGATCATATGTTAGTTCTATTTGTGATATGCAGTTGGTTGAATCCGCAGGTGCAGAACCTGGGGATACAGAGGGCCGACCATATATCTTGATGTCTCTCATAAAACAGAACTGAGGAATTTCCTTGTCATTTCCTATGCTTCCATGATGCTCCACTGCCATCTCCTGAAATTTTAAGCACCTTGAAAGCCAAAGACACTACATCATGAGAATGATTAAAACTGAAGACCGATCACCCTAAGTGCTGGTGCTGGCAAGGCTGTGGAGCGCTGGAACTCTCTGACACTGTCAGGGGGAGTGTACACTAGCACAGAGCCTTTTGAAAACAGTTTGGCAGTTTCTTAAAAAGTTAAACACACATTTATGATCCATTCATTCTACTCCTGAGTATTTACACAAGAGAAATGAAAGCACATATCCATACAAAGACTCGTACACGAACATTCATAGCAGCTACTCGTCAGGGCCCCCAACAGAAAACAACCCAAATGCCCATCAACAAGTGAATGAGTAAGCAAATTATGACATAGTCATATAATGGATACTACTCAGCAATAAAAACAAATGGACTAATGACAGACGTTCCAACAGGGACAAATCTCACAAAAATTACACTGAATGAAAGAAGCCAGGCAGAGAGAGAGTACATACTGGATGAGTCCATTTCTAAAAATTCTAGAAAATGCAAAATAGAGTGACAGAAGGGCTGCTTGGGGCAGAAGTTGGAGGGATGGATTGTAAAGGGGCACAAGGAAGCTTTTGAGGGTGATGGAGATGGTCATTTCCTAAATTGTGGTGAAGGTTTCAAATCAAACACCATCAATATATGTGGTTTGTTGTACAGCAATACCGCCTTGATAAAACCTGGAGGGAAGATTTTTCTCTCTGAGAGAGGGAGGGAGGACACCAGCTAGTCAGAGACAAGAACTAGAATGACTCTCTGGGCTCAGGGCTGCCCACTGACCCCCCCACTCCATTCTCTGGGGAGATGGGTTAGCAAATGAGCTTCCCACTGTTCCTGGAATCCTCCCCAAGCCGGGCTCTGACCTGCCTCAGGTGAGCTGAAGTGAAGGAGCAGCCAAGAGGCTGAGCTGGTGTCCATTTCCCACACAGGACAGCCTTGTCCCAGCAGGACGAGCTCACAGCTGCCCTGTCTCAGATCTTTGCCCTCTGTCCTGTAGGCCAGGTGGCTTTGACCTTCAATAACTCTTTTTCACCTTTCTGTTTTCTGTCTTTGGGGGAAGGGGGAAGGGGGAAGGGATAGGGACAAAGAGGCTATGGTATCTCTAAGTTAGACTCTAAATCTGAGGGGAAAGGGACTGTGGTATTTGGGGCTCTTATTAGCTTAGGGCCACACATACAGATCTTCTCCAAGAAGCCTGCAGGGATACCTTTCCAGGGTGCTTCACATACCAGGGAAAGGCCTAACTCCAGACTGGCCACTGAATTTTTATCTGCTGGCAGAGAAAACAAAATACGGCCTACTACAGAGCACTTCCAGCATGGCCTCTGGATCAGAGAGGCTGTAAGACCCAGGGGGCAGCAAGACCTGGGAGGTGGGAGGACACTTTCCCCCAAGGTAGGTGCTGTGTGAAGGGCACAGAGCTGCAGTGCAAGGGGAGACAGGGTCCATGACCAGAGGATGCGCTCTCCAGCCCATTCTGCTCCAGCCCCTGGCATCACTGCCTTTGACAGAGGGGAAGCCAGGCAGCCCTGGACTTGGCAGAAGTCCCCAGGAGTGGGTTCAGGGACCCCAGTACTGGAAATGCAGAGATCGCCTTTCTCTGGGCTGCAGTGGCCAGGGAAGCAGGCTGCCTCGGGAGAGTTGAGGAATTTCCTGTCTTGCACAGACTTGAGGCTCAAGGACAAAATGTTTTCACTTGTCCAGAGCCCTCCCTGTCCCCGCCTCTCTGCAGTCTCAGTCAGAGTGCCCAGATTCCCAGAGCTCCCTGCAGACAGGTTCTTATTCCTGGGCCCTGAGGGAGCATCAAAAACTCCAGGTCTCTTTCCTTCAAGCCAGTGGCAGCTCTTCCTTGGCCCCCACCCTCTCTCAGGTCTTCCTACTGCCCGGTTTGTCCTGGCCTGGGGCTTCGGTAAAGCCAGGTCACCCTACAGGTCTAAATGCATATCTGTGCCTCTCTCTCCTAGGAGGGCGGCCTGGCACTGCCTTCCACGTGGCAGCTCACTGGTTCTCTGAAAGTCGCGGAAACGTAGGATCTGAGGTCAGGTCCTCTTCTTGGGTAAGTCACTGCCTCTCTCTGAAGCTCAACTTCCTCATCTGTATTTAAAGTAATAACAGTATCATCACAGGGCCCGGGGTTTTTAAAGAGATAATGCATGAAAATACTTTGTCCGACTATCTGTCATCAAAGTTCGCACTGGTGGGAGGCTGGCACAGGGGTGAACTCACACCTACCCACTTGGGCTTAGCTACTGGGTGGGCTCCTCAGCAGAAGAGAACAAACAGAGACTGGGCCCTTGCCCCAGGATTACAGGATTTGTGACCTGAGGCAAATGCTGTTAGGAATGCAAATATGTTGCTTAAAAAGATCATGGATGTATATAAAGTAAATTGAGAACAAACATTCACTGCCCTCCCTCAGGAGAGAGATGAGTAAGGGTGACTGAACTGGTGGGACCTGCCTGGGGCAGCATTTAGTTCCAACCTCCCCCATACCTCTGACCTGTTCTGTCCTCCCCGAGGCCCCACAGCAGGAACAAAGAGAAGAGGGAAGTGACTGGGAGAGAATGTGTAGAAAGAATCTGTATTCAGACCTGCCATTGGGGGTCACGTGGGACTAGAGCTGCTGGGAATCGGGGGAGTGAGTGGCTATGTCATCCTCAGCGTTCAACCACCCCAGAGTCTTCACAGGGGGAGAAAACCAACCCCCTACAACACTCTGGGCTGGGATTCAGGAGCCAGTGAGGATCGCAGTTTTAGGGCAAGCAGCTTCCTCACTCAGATCCTGAAACCCCAGCCCCAACCCCACCGCCCCCTTACTGGTAGAGAGGCCAGAACATGTTCAGGTGAAGTGACTTGCCCAGGTCCCAGAGACAGTTACAGGCAGACCTGGAGCTCACACCCAGGCCTCCTGACGGCAAGGCCAAGATGGTCCAGAGGCCATCTCTTCCACAGGAGCCAGTCACCTCCAGCGGCGCCTGTGCTGAACTCTCCATGAAGGTAAATGTCTTATGTGGACCCCGATCCTACCCTTGACAAAAGAAAAAACTAGTGCAGAGAAAGGAAAGCCAGGTGAAAAGGGCAAGGTGTGTGTTTCATTTAATTCCAAAGCCACACAACTTATTCTGGCTCATCTGTGGCCGACAGACCATGTATCAGTTTATGCTCACCGTCCTGCGCACTTAGCTAGAATAAGAAGAGACAGATGGAAACAGGTGCTCTGAACTCATAGCTCTAGCCACGTAACCTGAAGCAAGTTCCCCAACCTAAGCTCAGTGTTCCCTCCTCTAAACTGATACGAATACGGTTACCAACTATTGACGATAACGCAATAGTGA